ATGAAAAATTAAGCCTTGTATTTTTTCACACAAAATACCAAATATCAACATTGCCATTTAATAAAAAGATTTCTAAATTTGAAAACACAATTATAATATCTAAACTCTTTTTCAATTGAAAACAAAACATAATATCTAAACAAAGTCTTACAAATTATAAGGGTGCTCGTAGTTTAGTAGTTTTGGTTGGGTTAAAGAGAACTCAAATCCGTTATCGTCTAAAATTTAACGACGATTAAAAAAATCAATCTTAATCGTTGTTTTTATGCATCTATCCAAAATACGAAGAATCATTCATTGATTCTCATTATGATTTCTATGAAACATATTAAAATACCGCTGAATACCCTATTAGAATTTACCACATGGTATCGCGCCTGTTTAAAGGTTATAGCGATGACATACGCACAAAGTTGCTTTAAACACAAGGAAATACAATATTTTGAGACAAAATAGTAACATAACCCTATACAATTAAAAGTCAGCATTATAAAATAAACACTTTATTAAAAGGGAATTTACATCACAGGTCTAATTAAGTTTATATTTCATCGATATTTGATACTAGTCTTGTGAGATGATTTAGTTTAAAATTAAAAAGAAATTTATAAAAAAAATAAAAAATCTCTTATATCAAAAAATTAAATATATTCATTTTCTCTTACTTTTTATATATTTTTATTAAAAAATTAAAAAGTCATTCTCAAATACTATTTTTTTTATATATTTTACCAAAAATTAAAAAGTTGCTAAAATAACATGTTCTCAAAAGTTTAATTAAGATTTTTTAGACTTCAAGTTTCATTAATTTTTAATAGTTTGAATTGCCCTTCAAATAATGATTATTCATCATTTATGATTATTTATACAGGAACATTTTGATTTACAAAACTTCAAAACACCAACTTTCAAATTAAAAAAAAAAAAACAACTAATGTGTATGTTTGGTTTGAGTTTTTAGATTAAATTTTTTTGAAACTGAGTATTTTGTTTTTGTTTTTGTTTTTGTGTGAATATTTTTTTAAATTTTAAGATTTTTTTTATTTTTTTAGATGCACTTTACTTAGATGTATTAAAAGAATAAAAAATTTGTGAAAAATATTTTAAAAATTAATAATATATAAAAATATGAAAAATATACTAAATTCTCATTTTTTTTTGGTATTTTTATATTTTTGGTATTTAGTGAATTTTTAAGAGATTGTTTTCGAAAAATTATACTTTTTATGTGTATTTATGTTAGGTGTGTCTAAATTAAAAAAAAAAAATTTGCTTAATAATATTAAAAAAATTTAGTAAAAAAAAAAGAAAGTAGAATTTTTCTGAAAAGTGTTTTTGAAAAACCAAAAACAAAATGTACAAAACTGAAAAAAATAAAAAATAAACTTTACAAAATAAAAAAAAAACTAATAATGTTCATAGTTTTAAAACTAGAAAAAATTGTTAATATTCTCGCTTTTATTTGTAGTTGAATCAAATTAATAAATAGAAGAGCAAAAACTTGAATCTCATACTCTGTTTTTTTTTTCATCAGTTAGTAAACAATTATCTGAAACATTACATACAAAATTGATAATGTTCTTAATTTTAAAAATTGAGAAAAATTCTAATATTCTCAGTTTTACTAAATAGGACTTATTGGTTCAAAAAATCTTAAATAGGACCGGAGCTATCATAACATTTATAAATAAGATTTTAAGTAATTAACTCTTTATTAAATAGATCCCACTACTTCAACCAGTAAAAACACAAATGATTTACGTGTAAGTCTAATAGGCAGATTTATTATCTAATAGGTCGTATGAGAATTAATAACGTTTTTCATCAAACACTATAAAAATCTTTAATACTTTTTAATTTTTAGGGAACATTAAAAATTATCACAAAAAATGTGACTAATTATAGTTTTAGTGAAGTTTAAAAAAATCGTCAAAAAAACATCACTAATTTTTAACTTTCAGTGACAATTTCAAAAATTCGTCAAAAAAAATCACTAATTTAAATTTTAGCTACAATTTACAAAAATCTTAAAAAAAAGTTACCAATTGTCAAATTTTATCGACATGCAAAAACCATTACAAAAAAATTATTTAATAATATTTTACTAAAATTTATTTTTAATAAAATTGATAAAATTTAATCAACTATTAAAATCTGTTGATGATTTATTCTAAAACACAACCACCTCAAAGATAACCCCTAGTTGCTGATTTCTTCCTTCTAGTTTTGGAAAAGATGTTCACGCTATATCATATAAAAATACAAAATTAAATAATATCTGTGCACTATATAATATTTTATTTTATTTTTCAAAATCCAGGGATCCAAATAGAAATGTTATTAATCATCTTAATGCATGAGTGGGCGTCGCGTTCTATATACAAGTTTTGCACAAGGTTTTTAAAAGATAAATGTTTGGTGCACGTCTTTAAAAGGTATGTATTATATATATTTTATATATATTTTTATGATAAATATTATGGCGTCGTTTGGTAACATTTATTTTCAGTTTTCTATATTTATAAAACAAAATGTTTTCAGGGTACCCCCAATGGTCCGTGATTCAAAAAAATTCACACAGGTCCGTCTTGTCAGGGTATCAGCATCTTTACGAAATAAAAACTTGTTTTGGTAAATTTTTTATTTATAAATCAATGTCTCAGTTTATAAATTTGGCCAAAAAATATAAACTCAGAAAATGTTTCCATTTTGAGTTTTCAATTTTTTTTTTTTTTTTTACCACCCAACGCTAGTCACCACCCGCCACCATTTTCCGCCCCGTCTTCCGCCGCCACCGCCCCACCCACCACACCTGCCACCCAACCACTCCACCAGTCGCCACCCACCTCGCCACCACTCGCCACCGCCACCACCGCCACCCCACCCCACCCACCACCCATCTGCCCCACCCACCACCCGGCACTACCATCCACTGCCCCTACCACCGCTCACCACCCACCGCCACCACCATCCACCAATGCCACCCCAGCCACCAACCACCGCCACCCGCACCACCACTCCACCACCCACCGCTACCACCCACCCACACCACCCACCACCTACCATCCGCCACCTACCCGCCACCACCCGCCATCTCACCCACCTGCCACCACACCACCACCGCCACCACCACCACTCACTCGCACACCACCACCCGCCACCGTCACCCATCCACCACCACCACCACCACACCACCCGTAACCCCACCACCACCCACCACCACCACCCACCTACCACCACCAGCTATCCGTTACCCACTGCACCACGCCGCCACCACCACTACCCACTCGCTACCACCACCACCGCCACCGTACCCACCACACCACCACCACCACCACCCACCACCACACCACCCACTCGCCACCACCCACCACGCACCACCGTCACCCCACCCCACCACCCCACCACCCGCTTCCTACCACCCACCGTACCACTTTCCACCACCGTCTTCACCGCCACTTGCACTACTTGCCA